TACCTTTTTATTAACGTGACAAGTATGATGTGATATTCCAATGTGATAGGTATTAATGTGACACTCTAAAAAAAATTAAAAAAATCCTTAGTGTATTTTTCCTAAATGTGACACTTCAAAACTTTTACTTCAAAAAAAAAAAAAAAACTCTTTAGTATATTTTGCCTTAATGTGACAACGTGACGGATATAATTTTACACTTCAAAAATAAAATAAAATAAAAACTCCTTAATGTACCTTTCTAAAACGTGACAACGTGACGGGTATGATGTGACACTCTAAAAAAATTAAAAACTCTTTTGTGTATTTTTTTTTTCCAAATATGACATTCTAACGTGACGGGTATGATGCATTAAAAAATTTCTTAGTATATATTTTTTTCAAATGTGATAGTCCAATGTGGCAGGTAAATGAGTCATTAAACATCCAAAAGGACTAAATGAATCACATGAAAAAATATGGGATTATATGGATTACAAGTCCAAAATATGAGACTTAGGCCTCGTTTGGCAAGTGGTGATTTTAGTCAAAAAGTCAAAAAGTTACTAAAAAAATCAAAAAGCCAACAACCTATACCAAAAAGTCAAAGATTCTATTTTCTCTCTACTTTTTGCACATCTTTTCATAAAAAATCAAAAATTCATTCCAAACATACTAATTTTTTTTTGTAGAGAGATTGAGGAGAAAAGGGTTTTTAGAGAGAGAGAGAGATGTATAAAATGATATACACTCAGCCCAAGAAAAGAAGGAAAAGTAGATTTTCGAACTCAACAGAGTCCCGCACGTGCGGCGCCCTTACCCCACACCTCCAACCGCACCTGCCTTTTATGCAGTAGGCAAGCTTGAAATTTCCCTGGCTTCCCGCATGTGTGGCCTCACTTCCTGCACGTACGGCTGCCCTCAGCCCAAAAAATTTCCAGCTCAAATGAAAACCCCTTGGATTCAACTTCAAGCCTCCCAAAACAAACGAACACATAATTGAAATTAATAGAGACGAAAATTCTGAGAAAGAGATTTCAAAAGTGATGAACCCAACAGTTGACAAGTCCTTAAGTTAGACCTAAACACTCTAACATGATGAACCCCAACACGTGAAAAAGGAATGTAAGAAGGGTTACGTACCCGATCATCACATATGAATGTATATTGTGTAACGCCCCCAAAATAATACAAATAATCCATCACGCATCTGCAATGCCCATATCCTTCGTGTCAAATTTAGAGTTTAACAACTTCTTGGTAGTTTTGATCATTTCATCGTTACTACCTATAATGAGCATATCATCAACATATAGACACAAAATGACATAACCTCTATCAGTGTCTTTGATATAAACACACTTGTCACATTCGTTGATTCTAAACCCATTTGACAACATTGCGTTGTCAAACTTCTCATGCCATTGTTTAGGCGCTTGCTTCAAACCATACAAAGATTTGACAAGTTTACAAACTTTCCTGCTTTGCCCTGGAGCTGAAAATCCTTCAGGTTGCTCCATGTAGATTTCTTCATTCAAATCTCAATTTAAGAAAGCTATCTTTATATCCATCTAGTGAATTTCTAGATTGCGCAAAGCAGCAATCGCAATCACCATCCGAATGGATGTTATCCTAGTAATAGGTGAGTACGTATCAAAGTAATCCAGGCTTTCTCGTTGCCTGTATCCTTTGATAACGAGCCTCGCTTTATACTTGTCAATTGACCCATCGGCCTTCATCTTTCTTTTCAAAATCCATTTGCAGCCTAAAGGCTTACAACCTGGAGGTAAATCTACCAACTCCCAGGTGTGGTTCTGTAAGATGGAGTCAATCTCACTTTTGATCGCTTCTTTCCATAATGGACTCTCAGGAGAAGTCACAGCTTCGTGGAAAGTTTGAGGTTCATTCTCAACCATATAAGTTAAGAAGTCTAGACCAAAAGATTTGGATATCCTAGCCCTTTTACTCCTTCTGGGCTCATCTAAAACCTCAATTTGATCATCACCTGAATCATCAATATGATCATCCTCACTAGCAAGCTCATCAAATTTCTCCAAAGACCTTGGAACCCTTTCATGGGTTCCGCAAGGAAAAATGTCTTCAAAGAAACATGCATTCCTTGACTCCATAATGGTATTCCTGTGTATTTCTGGAATTTCAGACTTATGTACAAGAAACCGATATGCACTACTATTATGTGCATAACCAATGAATATACAATCCACGGATTTCGGGCCTATCCTAACCCGTTTGGGTATAGGAATTGCCACTTTTGCAAGACACCCCCACATTCGTAAGAATTTATACGAAGGCTTAACGCCTTTCCATAACTCATATGGCGTCTTGTCCACCTTCTTCCGGGGTACTTTATTCAGAATGTAATTTGTAGAGAGAATTGCTTTCCCCCACATGTTCTGTGGCAATCCAGAACTTATCAACATTGCATTCATCATTTCCTTTAGCGTCCTATTCTTCCGTTCAGCAACCCCATTTGATTGAGGAGAAGAAGGCGCCGTGGTTTGGTGGATAATCCCGGATTTAGCACAAATCTCAATAAACGGTAATTTATACTCACCACCACGATCACTTCTGAAAGCCTTAATCTTGCGGCCTACTTGATTCTCAACTTCATTCTTATAAAGAACAGACTTGTCAATCGCCTTATCTTTGCTTTTGAGCAAATAGACATAACAATACTTAGTGCAATCATCAACAAAAGTGATGAAGTACTTATTGCCACCACGTGATTGTATAAATTTTAAGTCACACACATCACTATGCACTAAATCCAACGGTTCTAAACTTCTTTCAATAGAATGAAACGAAGACCTTGTCAACTTCGCTTCAACACAAGTTTCACACTTGTGTTTCGGATTAATCTTAAAAGATGGTATGTGATCTAACTTGATTAATCTACGTAAAGATTCAAAGTTCACATGTCCTAATCTACCATACCACAAATTGGAAGACTCAAGCATGTAAACAGAAGAAGATGCACCTTTATTCATCTTTGGGATAACAGTCATAACATTGAGTTTAAACATACCCCCCAACATATAACCCTTACCCACATACACTCCGCTCTTGGTCAAAACGACCTTGTCGGACTCAAAAACAATGCGAAAACCATGTTTACTAAGAAGAGACCCTGAGACAAGATTTTTACGAATGTGTACATACAATACAAAGCTATGGGTATATATTTTTCCTGACGTCAACTTCAGGACCACCTTTCCTTTCCCCTCAACAATCGAGGTAGTAGAGTTTCCCATAAACAACTTCTCACCGTTTGTAACCGGTTCGAAAGTTGTAAACAGCTTTTTTTCGGAGCAGATGTGGTGTGTAGCCCCAGTATCAATCCACCATTCTCTTGGGTTTGAACATACCAGATTCACCTCAGAGACAACGGCAGACAAGTGCATATCATCCTCCTCATGGGAGTGCTCTTGTAAATCTGCCATATGAGCACGAGGTTTAGTCTTGTATGACTTCTTCTGCTTGTGGCAGTCACTAGCCCGATGCCCATTGCTACCACAGTTATAGCACTTCCTAAAGAACCGATTACTTGGTTCCGGTGGCTTGTAAGCCGGCTTCTTTGCAACACCACCTCTAGGCCCCAACTTAGAGGGCTTCTTTCTTATTCCAGAAGATTTGCCATGTTCAATGACATTGGCTTTTACTGAGGAGGTACTCCCTCCTTTCTTTCTATTATCCTCCTCAATTCGGAGTCGGACAACCAGCTCTTCAACTGACATTTCCTTGCGCTTGTGCTTCAAGTAGTTCTTGAAATCCTTCCAACCATTGGGAAGTTTATCAATGATCACAGCAACTTGGAATGACTCGTTCAAAGGCATTCCTTCAGCATGAATTTCATGCAAGATCACTTGAAACTCCTGGACTTAGGCTTATCACAGTTTCAGAGTCTACCATTTTAAAATCAAGGAACCGGCCAACCACAAATTTCTTTGTCCTGGCATCCTCTGTCTTATACTTTTTGTCCAGAGATTCCCATAACTCTTTTGCTGAGCTCTTGGAACAAAACACACTATAGAGTGAGTCTGCCAAGCTGTTGAACACATAGTTCCGGCAAAGATAGTCTGTCTGCTTCCATGTGTCAAGTGCCACGACTTTCTGCCTATCAGGCTCATTCTTTGCCACGGCTGGAGGATCCTCGCTCAGAACCTTTACAAGGTTTAGCGTGGTCAAGTAGAATAGCATCTTTTGCTGCCATCTCTTGAAGTTCACCCCAGCAAATTTCTCTGGGCGCTCATGATGATTGAGCGGTCCTCCCGGAACAGCCGGAGTAACGTCATGGTTGACCACAGAGGTCACAACAGTAGGGGTTGGCAACCCAGTTGCCCCGGGATTCAGATCCCCACCAACATTAGTAGTAGCAGCAGCATCAGTGATAGTTGCCATTTCGAACAAATAAAACCTCATTTTTAGCCAAGGCTAAACACTTTGGTTTCTATTTCAGAAAACCAAACCAAAATCCAAACTTATAAGCAATTTAAATTTGCAAACAATTTAAAATTGCTACAACCAAATACATGCATATAAAATGCGTCTAATAAGCAAATAAAACTTGCTACTACAAATTGGTAAACATCCATCCCTAATCCTAGCAATTTTATCATTTCCTCCATACTAGAATCCATTCTGTAACGCCCTCAAAATAATAGCATTAATCCCATCCATTTAGACATGCATTGATATACGAAATAAACATTTTTCTATTCATCAGAGTAGATCCTTACAAGAGTATTACATGTTAACAACAAAAACAAATGCCCTATGGGCTTACAGCTTTCCAAGTTAACACTTGGTTACAAAAAGAAGAGTGCCAACTCAATACATATTAAGCCCTTGGCTTGAATTTACATGTAATACATCAAAAGAAAGTAAACAAAACAATCTGTCTGCCTCTAGCGTCTGAATCAATGTTCATCCAGGAACTTGTGGGGAAACTTTTTAGAAAATTAAATCATACATATTCATGTGTTTCTGAAGACCTAGTTGGAATGGATTCTAGTATGGAGGAAATGATAAAATTGCTAGGATTAGGGATGGATGATGCTCCTGTTGTGGGGATATGGGGGATGGGTGGAATAGGTAAGACAGCTCTTGCAAGTGCTATTTATGCCCATATCTCTTGCCAATTTGAAGGTTGCAGCTTCATTGAAAATGTTAGAGAAGTTTCAGAAAAAGGTGGTCTAAAAACTCCACACGAACAACTCATTTCCGAAATCTTAATGGAGAAAGATTTGAAAATAGGAAATATTGGTAGTGCCTTAAGTACGATAAGGAACAGGGTATGCCGCAAGAAGGTTCATATTGTTCTTGATGATGTGGATGAATCAACAGAACTTGAAAAATTGTTAGGAGAGCTTGATTGGTTTGGTTTTGGAAGTAGAATAATTATAACAACTAGAAATCAACACACATTAATCAGATATGGCATAACACATATTTATAAGGTTGAGGAATTAGGAGAAGATGAAGCTACAAAACTCTTTAAATCAAAAGCCTTCAGGAAACACCAACAAATGGGAGGCTATGGAAAACTTGTACATTGTGCAGTAAAGTACGCTAAAAGAGTGCTTGTTGTTCAAATTTTGAAATTAAATAAATAGATTTATGAAGAAATCAAATTATATATATACTAAGAACACATGCTAATAATTACAACAAAATTTCAACAGAAATACACAAAACAATAAAAGGGTAAAGAGATGAAACCGAAGCCTGCACGGAAGCAGTTTCCTTAAAATAGATTTCGCCGCCTCACTAGTCGAGTGCTTGAGGAATCCCAGCGTCTGTCTCCCAGGATACGACGGTCAAAACCAGCTACGGCAGAAGCACTCTCTGTCTAGCTTAGCAAACAAAACAGTGGCAGCACTCTCTCACTGTAGGAACTTTCAGGCAAACTAACTTGTGAAATGGAAGTAAAAATTTCTGTGTTTGAGACTTGACAGGAGGGTCTCAATTTATACATGTATAGGGGAGAGAGGAAGAGCCTCCGCCTTTATGGCTGTTCATAATGCACCATTAACCTCTGCAATAAAGGCAGGAGTTACAAACCCCATTAATATAGGAGTTACAAACCCTATTAATGCAGGAGTTACAAACTTCATTACCTTTTTTCCATGAAGCTAACTTCATGAGGTAATTTCTCATTCAAATCTCAATGGTTTTTGGCCATTCTATCTGTGGTGTAAAGATCTCAATGCAAAGTATCTAGACCCACGTGGACCCAACACAATAAATGGTTGAGACCCAGTTTAATATTTAATTAAAGTCACCAAAAAATCATTTTTTCCAACACTCTCCTCTCCTGTCCTCTCTATCTCTATTCTTGAAAACAAAAAAGCATTCAACACCCTCATCACCCTTACTTCTCATCCCTTTCTCTGATTGCTCTTCTCATCTTTCCCTGTTTTTCCTCCTCATTTTCTCACTATGTTTCTCTCTTTACAAACAGCGAACAATGACAACTGGCAAAGGACGAACGGAGACAACCTGAATAGGGTTTGATTTTGAACTGATTTGTTTCTCTCTCTATTTCCTTTCCTTTCTTTTCCAGATTTGTTTTCTCTCATCTCTATCTCTATTCTTGGAAACAAAAAAGTATTCAAACACTCTTATTCAACAGATTTGGGTTTAATTTTGAACTGATTTTTGTTTGATTTTGTTTGATTTGAGTTTCGATTTTGCTTTTGCTTTTGATTTGTGGTTGTGGGTTTGGTTTTGGTTTTGGTTTTGGTTTTTCATTTTTGGGTTTGGTTTTGGGTTTGGGTGATTCTTCTTCTTCTTTTTAGAATGAATTTTGAATTTTTTTCATTTATTTACTTACAATTTTTGCTTGATCTTGCATGGTGTAAAATTCCCATATCTGTGTGTGTGTGTGTGTTGTTTTTTGTTTGGTCTCATTTAACAGTTTAGAAGAAAGAACAAGAAGAAAGAAGGAAGAGAGGAAAGAAAAGAAAAGAAAAGAAAAAAAAAAAAACTCGGGAAAGAAAAAAAAAAAAAAAAAAAAAAAAAACTCATTTTGGCACCTCAAGCCATTCGAGCTACCTGGCGGGGTTCAAAATTTTTTTTTCAAAACTCATAACCAAATAACTTTTCTCATTTCACATGTCACATCAAAAATTCAAAACTCAATTCAAAATTATTTTCAAAATCATAACCAAACAAATTTTCTCTTTTCAAATCATGATTCCAAAATTTATAAATTCAAAATAGAACTTTATTCTCAAATCATTATTCTAAAATTTTCCCAAACACTACTTAAGATTATCAAATATCAATAACTCTATATTTAAATAAAATTTATATTATAAAAAATGGACCAAACTTACATATACATATATATATATATATTTTGATTCAATATATATATAGAGAATTCTATTATGCACACCTCATACCATATATACTTTTAGTTACGACATTTTTTTTTTTAATTATGACTAATTTTTTCTTTAGTTACGACATTATTTTGAGATTTTGGTCATAATGTTTTTGTGTTTAGTTATAACTTTTTTTTATTTTTTTAATTATAACTCAAAAATATGATATTATGTCTTTTTTTTTTTTTTTTGTGTAATTATAAAATGCACAATCTTTTCCTATATATCTATTCTATTGCGACCTAACACTAGGGAAATTTTATCTATTACTACATGTCAATCTCAACTCTATGGCCGTGTCTTCAAAGCGTGTTCCCACCTGCTTTGATAGCACAGCCCTCGAGCGAGGCAATGGATAACCGAAAACCAAACTAACTAAAAAAAAAAAAATCAAAAAACAAAGACCCCAATGCAGAACCAACCAAAAATCACCATGTTTTTGCACCACAATTAATCGCCGGTCACATCGTTTCACTTGCGAGTTTTGTTCCCTGCCAACTCTGACCTATTCACAATCTCACCTTCGAATGCTGATGCAGCCATGCTTACCATAAACTCAATCCGAGGATATTGAGTAAAGTTTAAATTTAATAAGATTTGAAAATAATTACATTTGTTCATAAAATTATATAAATTATAGAATGGCATACCATTTTGATCTTACAATTTATATATATATATATCTATATCTATATTTATATAAAAAATCTGATTATAAACTACTTTATCAAACATCTTTTCTAATTTATGTTGACATAAAAAATTGATTATATTAAATTTGGACTGGATTTCTCTCTAGCCGTTAATCGGAGTGGAGAGGTGATGTTCGGCTCATTAGATTCACTTTTGGGTCTCATTTTGATGATTCGGACCGTTTATATTTTAGAGTTCTTACATCATCCCTGCAAAAAAATCAAGCCAATTAAATAACGATAATCACGTGTTCGGATCATTTTTTTATGAAAAAAAAATTAATAGTGAAAAAATAAAGGGAAAATTGGTCTAGGGTCCTTCTCCCACTTTTCGCAAGGGAAGAGATCCACAAAATTATTTTTTGATGTCTAAGGTCATCCCATCTATCACAGAGAAATTCAGCCCCCTTCCTTTTGTCTACTCTCACTCGCCACCACAATCAAACACGCACAGAGAGAGAGAGAGCCATGTCGCCGGAAGTTGTGTCGGTGGAGAGGTTTAGGGAGGTTCTCGCGGAGCTTGATCGACGGAGAGAAGCTCCACGGCACAATCACAGTCACCGACAGACAAAGTTCTCAATCCATCTACAACCGAGATTGGGAAAATTTGCAAGGAATTGAATGTTCAGCTACACACAGATGCTACGCAGGCTTTGGGGAAGATTGCAATCTCTCTCTCTCTCTTTCTATATATATATATATATATATATATCTTCATCCTCAATCTCCATCTTCCTCTATTAACTGGTTCATTCCATATCTTGTATAGTTCTTCATCAAGCTCAATTACTATATTTCCCATTTTGAAGAACTTTACCAGCAAATGCTTGCAAAGGCTTTATATTTATGATGTTTATCTGAAATATATATTCATGAATTAAAAAGGTTTACTGAAATATATATTCATGATTAGGAAATTTCAGATAAAAGGCAACGAAAATGATTTTGACAAAATCTAGGACTATTTTAAATCCAGACAGAAATTAATAATAAGAGTTTTAACTTATATACGAGTAAATAATATTCCACTACCTTATTGTGTACTGTAGTATGGGACGTCAGTCAAATTTATTACTAGAAACATCATGAATATATATTTTTTTGTGGTCTTAACCTTTTTATTTGAAATATATATTCATAATCCACAAAAAGGCTTTATATTCATGAATATATATTTTTTTGTGGTCTCAATCTTTTTGTGGTCTCCCATTTTGAAGCCAAGTTGCTGTTGTTGGACGTAACTGACTTTTTACTAAAGGTGGGTGCCAGGACACAAATATCAATCGCCCTCTTTGTGATTTGATATATAATGAACAATGCCAAAACCCTCACCTTGGTGTTTTTTCCTACCATAAGGATCCAAGAAGTGGTCTGTATCTGCTGCTAGGGAGGGTGACTTGGAATAGCTCTCCAATATATCTGAATGGAAAGCAAAAAAAAACATGAAAAAAAAAATACCAAGAACATTTCTGAGGTTCATAAGTTCATTGATTCAAGTCAGTTGCAATAAAACCAATAACCTGTTGGCAGAATGGTATGAAGTTGGCCTAAATATACTTAAGTTCATAAAACAACGGGTTTAAGTAGTGGAAAAGGATTCAAAGGATTAGAGATTCTTCCCCGAAGAAGAACAATAGGGCAAATGTGTATAAAAGTGCAGTGTATTGAATCAACTCCTACATCTACTCAATCTATTACATAGAACTTGGCCTGAACAATCTCTCATTAAATCATGAGAGAGAGAGAGAGAGAGCCAACCCATTTTCTTTGTAGAGAATTTCTGTCTAGAGAAATTCTCTGAGATTTTGGCCACTGTGTAAATTTTCTCTGAGAAATTCTCTGGGAGGTTCTAGAGAAATTCTCAGAAATTCTCAGAATTTCTCTAGACAAAATTTCTCTGGACAGAAAATTCTCTAGTCATATTTGCCGCTTACCAAAGTGCTCTGGTGGTATGAAGCTTTTAAAAAATTACATAATTTAAAACACTTTTTGTCTATTGAATTGGTGGCTTGCTGTTGTTTTTTCTGGTTTTCTATGTACTAATGTCATGTATATTTGCTATAGGCAAGGGTGAGTGCTAGTGTTGTGGTCTATGCTCAACTTTCAAAGCTTGATGGGGTTCTGGGAAGGTTCCATGCCTTACATTGCTTGGAAATGTTTAGGGTGGCAAAATGGTTTTTCCACTGGTATGTATTAATGTGTTTCATGAAATTTCATATTGAATGTTCTGAGCTATGATATTGTTGTAGAAAATGTGTCGGTGGAAGCATATTGAAGGGAGAGAAATTTGAAATTTCTCTGGAGAGTCCATGAAAGGCCAAGGAGGCCAGAGAAATTTTAAATTTCTCTGGAGAGGTAATTTTGTGGGAAGGCCAGTGAAGTCAGAGAAATTTTCAAATTTCTCTGGGAGAGAGTAATCAGAAAAATTGCCACTCTAGCCTAATTTTTATATGTATAATAGACAACAACCTTGCAGCTTCGGTAGAGTTGGATCAACAAGAGGCAATTTAGAGTTAGACCCCCTTGCTCGCCTCGCTCAAATTTCTCTGGATTCAACCCAGAGAAATTTGAATTTTCTTTGGATTCAACCCAGAGAAAATTCAAATTTCTCTGGGTTCATTTTGACCGGTTTCTTTCGAGGCGAGCAAGGGGGTCCAACTCTAAATTGCCTCTTGTTGATCCAACTCTACCGAAGCTGCAAGGTTGTTGTCTATTATACATATAAAAATTAGGCTAGAGTGGCAATTTTTCTGATTACTCTCTCTCTCATGCTGTTGCTTGGTATATCTAACATGAAATTTTTGGTTTTTCAGGTGATGTTGAAGCTTCTTTGAGTTGGTGTCCCAGTGTTTTTTGAATTCATTGATCTTCTTTTCAATTGTTTGGGCTTGATTTTCTTGGCTGGTTTTGTTTTTTAATTTCTTCTTCATTCATCCGTGAATTAATAGTTGTAAATGCTACCGACACCGCCAATCTATAAATATAACTATCCTTTCTTGTTGCAGTACACAAAACATAAAGGTCAGAACGTTGAGTTCACAGGTTTCATTGAGTTTTCACAGGTTTGATGGTGTCTAAGATGAAAATATTGCACTGAAGAGAGGAAGAGAATTTCTCTGGATTGAATTTTCTCTGGTTGAATTTTCTCTGGATTGAATTTTCTCTGGACTGAAATTTCTCTGGATTGATGTTGAGGGACCTTAGAAAATAGTTGATGTCCTTTATACTATAAAATCATAATATCAAGGACCTTAAAAAAAATACCCCAAAAATAAATGGTTCATACAAAACTAATCCGAGCATGTGGTTGCCGTTAACCGATTGACTTGATTTTTTGTATGGATGATATATTTGACGAATTCTAAAATATAAATTATTCGAATTATTGAAACATAACCTAAAAATGAGCCCAATAAACAGAATAACACTTCTCCATCCCGACTAAGGACGGGAGAAAACCCACTCCATTAAATTTATTATTTTTCTCTAATCTTTTAAAATTATATAATATATATTATTAATGGTAAATTTTTATTTGATTTTGTATTGAAAGTAGGTGGATCCCAATTTTAACGATCTTGGGTACAGCTGCTGTCTCACAACATGTGATACGTTATTTATCCCTCTGTCTTCGCTTTTCAGTGTTGATTAAAGAAAATGTTTGAGACTCATTTTGGAATGATCTCATATCTCTAAAGTGATTCGGAACTTTTATATATCTGTGAAATTTTTTTATGTATGTGTGAGGTTTACATCATGAATGGTTTAGATTTGTGGAGATCTTATGAGAGTGGGAGTCTCAATCATTGTTCATTGATTAAATCATAGAATGATTGAGGGTTTTTAGAAATGTTTGCCTTCTCTCAAATTAATCATTTCAATTTGAAAGAGCGTTTTAATTGGTCTTAGCCCATTTTGGGATCGATTTTAGTAATTTAAACTGTTTACTTTTTAGGATTCGTTGAGTAAAATTTTCATAAAAAAATAAGACAATCAGATATCGATAACTATATGTTTGAATCAAATTTATATTACAAAAAATGGATGGCTATTTTTAAAATTATATTTGTCATCTATTTTTTTTTTTTAAAACAAATGATTCAAACATATAGCTACCGATATTCAATCATCTTGATTTTTTACATGTATTCTACACAACGAGTCTTAAAACCTGAACGGTTTGGATTACCAAAACTGGTCTCAGAATAGTTCTACCAAGTCCAAACGCTCTCTTAAGTTGAGATGACAACTTGAAATAGAAGTTTCATTTTTCTCTATGGGAGTGTTTTTGTATGAAAAATTCTTACCTTATTTTCTTAATTTAATACACAAATGAGTAAGTTTCATTGTTTTGTATTTAAAGAAGAGAAAAGGAGATAAAAAGATGTATTATGTATTGCTCTTTTGGTATTGAATAATTTTCCTAAGAGAGTGTGTTATGGTATTTATCAAATAGGCAAATATATTTTATATTTTATTTAATTTGGTTAGATAGATAATACAGAAAAATGAAAGAATTTATTTATTTATTTTTAATTTGTTTGTTTGTTTGTTTGTTTTTTTATTTTTATTTTTATGTATTTGTTTAGACAAAGAGTTTGAAAAAGTAATGGAAACTAAAGTTTATTGTACAACTCAAATTAACTTGTTAGTGAGGCTAACAGTTTCTTTCAAAATATACAAGAAGAATTATTTTTTCCACAAATCTTGACAATAATTGTTTTGTTTTTCTTTTTGCCAATGTTTCTCTCCACAACTCACTGTTATATAGTGATTATATTTTTTTCTTATCATTTTCTTACAAAAATTTTCATCTATTCAAATGTATGCAAGAAAATAAACTTTCCTTTCTTTTTTCTTTCTTTCACTTTACTTTCTATTATTTTTATTTTCTATCATCCGTTTCTTTCTAAACAAACGGAATCTTATGGGTAAATTACAAATATCCTTTGTCAAAATTTATACATTTAACAGAGTTGATTAGAAAAATAAAATTTCTAACTATCCTCCTATATAATAATAAAATTATAAGATCTGTTAATATACTATCCTCTCCAAGTGATCCTAAAAAGGACACTTAGGTGTCAAGGTGCATGAGATTTTAAATTCGAATTTATGAAGAGACGTTAGCCTGTATTTGCTCTCAAATTTACCACTTTGTCAAACGTCTAGTGGAAATTTATGCTTAAAATCACAATTTTTCCATTGAAGCAGTTGTTGGAAAAAAATGGTTTTATATAGGCATATTTTTTAACCCAATTTGGGTGGACCCCAAACGTCTTTTGGGGTGGGTCCGAAGAGGTGAAGTGGTGAAGACGGAACGTCAAAACCATTTATGAGTGAATGGAAAGATGACGTCGTTTTCGGGTTTAACATTAATTTTTTAGATAGAAATTCTTTTGAATTTTTTCAATAAAAATTATTGTGGGAATTTAATTTAATTCTAAATTCAAATTTTGAGTTACTAAGTGGTTTCTTAAAATGTGTAAATTTAGAATTTAATTTAATTCTAACTTTAAATTTTAGGTTCCTTAAATGTTTCCTAAAGTTTATACCTTTTCATTTATTTATTAAATTATTCAAATAGTTTATTATATACATTCAATTAATTTAATATATATATATATATTCTAATTGTTTACTATATATTTATTTCAATGGCTTAATTAATACAGTCCCAACCTCAAACAGGTTCTTGTAGGCCTTAACAGATTCGGGTTTTTGGGCTGTTTGAGAACAGGTAATTAACTGCTACGGTTGCCAGCAGTTAATTTGTTCAATAAAACAAAACCTGTTCATTTCCTTTTTGCACCTTTTCGGGTCTTTGTAATTGCCTATAAATACATGGTTTTTCCAACAGTTTTGGGTATGAAAAAAAAAAACCAGTCTTATATGTTGTCTTTTTTCCCAAATTACTTTTAGTGCATTATTCTTCATTTTAGATTTTAGAATAAATTAAAGAGAGTATAGATCACATGTTTGGTTCGCCGAACAAATTTATTTGAAGTGCTTCTATAAATTTGTGAAGATCACTATATCCTAGGAGATAGACGCCATTCAACCGTAAGCACCGTAGCGGGGCGAATCTGTCTTAAGGACAGAGTGTCACACACTCGACTTGGTCTTAATTTTAATTCGGTTCAATAAATAAATCTGGTATGTTATTTATTTATTTTGTTTGAATTTATTTCTAATTATTTTATTTTACACAGAAGATTGGTCCAACGGCAGTTGATATCAAATAAAAGTTTTATGTTTCAAAGGTTTTTGGTTTTATATATATATATATATATATATATATATAAAGTTTTGGCTACTGTGATTTTGTGCACATAAATTGAACGTGGTGTTCTATTATGATGGCAACCCAGCTTTTTGTTGAAACATTTTCTTAATATATTTATATATATCTAAATGAATTATTAAAGAGATGTAATTTTTGAATTTAAATTAAAGGGTGTGATCATTGGATTTAAACAAAAGGGTGTCATTTTTTAAGCTCAGGGATACAACTATTGATTCAAAGGACATGAACCCATGCCTTGGTATTTGGATATACAATTTTTATGGAATTTCTCTGAATGATTCATATTATTATTTTCTTCTTTACTTGATAGATTAGAAAATTTTAAAGGTATTTAGGATCTGATTTTGTTTGTGCATAATACAGTCAGATATCAATTTTTAAGCTGTGTTTCATTGTATCTTAGAGGCGAATCTGTGAGTAACTTGGTGTAAACCATATTCAACAGAATTAGTAGGGGCTAACATCGTCTTAAGAAAAGCAACGTTGTAATTCCTTGAAGCAATCCTAATTATTTTTGTTTTATGTCTTTCCATCACATTTACCAAATTTGCACCAACAACTCTCTTGTGGTAAAGGGATATCTAATGGTTTCCAAGCCAATTTTCGTAAACAGAGTGGATAAATTAGGTCCAGTAGCCTGGCAGATTTTCATTGTGGGAGATGATGTAGTTGCACTAATTTAGGCAGCATCATGATTGGAATTGGAATGTAACTTCCATTAGCTGGAAGCATTTATTTTTATGTGGTAAAATAGATGTGACTCTGAAGATTAAGCTACCTTTGTTCTTAACTGAATGCAAGTTCTACTTGATGTGGCATGATCTATTTGTTCAATTGACCAATTACATTTGGTCTTTCACATATTTTGGGTCTTTTGCAAGTGTTATATGCTTTAATGTGAACTTGGTGTATATACCATAAGATGGCTTAACAAATTATTTGTTCATCAAATTTGTTATTGTTTACATATATATATATATATATATATGTATTGTGTGTGTCAATT